CCGTTAAAGAAGCAGCTATGACGAAGTAGTATGTCCCAAAGTTTGCCAATTTTTTCTTCTACATACTCAAAAGTATGTACTTTTTCTTCACAAAAAGAGTACATACTTTTAGGGCATAGTATAAGTAGGCGAATTTTTCTCTCACTTCTGGTATGTCATACGCGGAAGCCGTTCCGGCGGATGACGCAGCACGTTGGCGTTGCGTGATTAGTGATGAATGCGGAGAGAGAACAAAACGAAACGCCGGTTACGAATTAGAAGTACAAACCGAGGATTTGCAAAGAAAATTGTCGGAGGATTTCGATATAAACCAAGAGGAGACTGGTTTCCCTTTGCTAAAGTAAGGAAACTTTGCTTCCTTTGCTCCTGTAAACAAACTCGCGAGACTAGCATATCTCAGAGGCACACGCTCTGCACATAAGTATGGAACATACAACATACGTGGGACGCCTTTTCGTATGACAGATACCGGAAGTGAGAGAAAAGTGTTAATTACGTTTGAAATATGGATATTTTCTTACAAAAAAACGCATGCATTCACTACAGGAGGCCTTTATTCAGCCCCCGAAGCCGTGTGTGTGAGGCACGTTTTAATATGGATGCGCGTGCTTTATTTGACGACTTGTGGACTGTTCAACTGCAACACCCGCTGACTGCAATGATAGAGCTTGGAATAGCCAGGAGAATTTTTAATATAACTCTGACTGGATTCGTCAGACATACCCGTTAAGTTGACATACCTGAAGTGAGAGAAAAGAAAGTCATATACACCTAGGATGCTTCGAGGGTAAGTAAAACACAGTCTAATTTTCATTTTTGGGTGAACTAACCCTTTAAGTTGTAATTTATTTCTGTGATGACAAAGCTGAATTTTCAGCATCATTACTCCAGTCTTCAGTGTCACATGATCCTTCAGAAATCATTCGAATATGCTGAATTGATGCTCAAAGAATTATTTCTTATTATTATCAATATTGAAAACAGCTGTGCTGTTAAATTGTATAGGGGGAAAAAAAACATGATTTTTTTTTATGAATAGGAAGTTATTTAAAATGAACATTAAAAATTTTTTGGGGGGGGGGGGGGTGAATTATTATTTTATGTAATGTATATTTTTATGTAAATTATAAGTAATTTTAATGTGCAGCAATAAAATATTATACATCTGTTGCAATAGTAATACTACAATACAATAGTAATACTACAATATGCTACTACAATAGTAAAACAATTTTCCTGGTCTTTCTGGCTTCCTGCTCATTTCTGGTCATTTGTACATTTTTGTTGCTGAACACATGGCACGAGGCTCTGCTGAGCGGTGAAGGAAACTCAGTTCATTCACACATGCAATCGGACGGCTATCAGATCCAAGGACAAGCAAATAAAAGCGGCCTGTACACTTTATCAAGAGCTCTCTTTCTGCAATCACAAACAAGTCCAACGCCTAACTCACCCGCACCTCCCAACATCACGTCACAGAATGAGCTGCAGCAGCGGAAACCCATTCACTACACTGTTTATCAACACTTCTTGGAAATTAGGTATGATTATGTGAGCGATTTGTGAAACTTTAGACTGTCCTATTGTTTCAGTACATCGGGGATCTTTTCACACTTGTGAAATATCTGGGCTTTTAAAACATTATAGCCATATTTTAATCACTGATTCCACGTTTAAAGAGGCATTTTGGGTAGTCTGACCTCTATTTATATCTCACAGGTGTCTTAACGATTCTTCTCATGGTTGCAGGTGTAATAGGTTCATTAAAGGGTTAGTTCACCCAAAAATGAAAATTCTGTCATTAATTACTCACCCTCATGTCGTTTCAAACCCGTAAGACCTTCGTTCATCTTCGGAACACAAATTAAGATATTTTTGATGGAATCTGAGAGCTGTCTGACCCTGCATTGACAGCAACGCAACTGAAATGTTCCCATCCCAAGATCACGTCACAGGATGAGCTGCAGCAGCGGAAACCCATTCACTACACTGTTTATCAACACTTCTTGGAAATTAGGTATGATTATGTGAGCGATTTGTGAAACTTTAGACTGTCCTATTGTTTCAGTACATTGGGGATCTTTTCACACTTGTGAAATATCTGGGCTTTTAAAACATAAGGAGAG